AACTAATAGTGAGACCCTGTCTCAAACAAAAAAAAAAAAAAAAAAAAAAATCCACCACCACCATCAACAAAACAAAACAAAAAACACTTTCTTAGACCTGGGAAAATGACTCATGTCTCAGGAAAGCAAGGCTGGAAAAAGGGCGCTGGACCCCAGACTCACACGAATGGCTCAACCTTGCTGACTACTGCAAAGGCTGGGACTTGAACCCAGGCCTGCTACATTTGGGCTGTTGCCTTCCACCTGCTCAGCCTCGCTGGTTCAGCAGCAACCTAGCCCTCCCACATACCTCTCTACTCCACCCTCTGAGGATGTCCAAGGCATGGGGACAGCAGTGCCCTGGCTGGCGCTGTCAGACCCTGGGTGTCTGTGGCTCTTGATGACAGCGTCTGCCTGAAGCGGCAGGCAGGTCAGAGTCATCACAGGAACCACTTTCAGACAGCACGGAGTGTGTGCTTTTCATTGATCCCCCATGCCAGCTGCCCTGGGCTGTGATGGAACTTAGTTGAGGGGTCCCAGGGAAGGATGGCAAACGATGTCCTATGCTTTGCACAAAGTTCAAAAACAACTGGGACCAAGCATATGCATACTTGAGATAAAACATTTTAAAAATAGCAAGGGTCTGGCATGGTGGCACACACCTGTGATACCAGCACTAGGGAGGCTGAGGCAGGAGGATCACCATGGGTTCAAGGCCAGTCTGGGCTATGTAGCAAGAACAATTGCAGAGGACACAGGGAGAACGCAGCCATCTGCAAACAAACCTGTGACACCTTGGTCTTGGACACCAGCCTCCAGAGCTGCAGCCATGTCCCTGTCTGTAGCACTCCACTTGGGCAGCCCAGGACAATGAGCTCAGGAGGAGAGGTGAAGACAAGCACCCCTGATGTAGGACACCCCATGCCATGGGGGCTGCGGGGAGTTCAGAGCGGCTGCACCGTGCAGGGTGCAGTGGGGATGGCACAGGCTCAGCCTCTCAGCAGGAAAGGCAGGAGGACCAGGCTGTGGCTCCTCTGAGGGTGACTGTCCCCAGAAGTCCGTGCACTGGAGATTTGGTCCCCAGTGCCACCACGGTGAGAGCTGGGGTCTCTGAGATGGTGGCCTGGAGGACTCTGCCCTCACGCTCAGACTTGCTCACTTCTGACCGGAGGTTCAGAGGGAGCACAGCAGCACGTCAAGCACACAGGCTCTGTCCCACCTGCCTGAGACCTGACCAGATGCCATCAATGCAGGCTCGAGAGCCAGGGGCCCAGTACACTTCCACACTTTATAAACTGCCCAGTCTCCAGAATTCTGTTACAGTGACAAAATGAAAGATAGCAATAGGGGTGATCTTCGGGGAACACAACCAGGGTTGAATGGAGGACAGGCTAGAGGGGAGGGAGGGGAAGGAGGAGACATGGGGACCGATCACCAGTTGTGGTGGGGAGGCAGAGGCGGCCCAGAGCTCTGGGTCCTCAGCCCTCAAACAGAGCTGCCTGTGAATGCACATGGACACACGTGCATCTGAAGAGTGTCGCAGAGCCCTGGCTGAGTCCTGCCTCCCTCCCTCCCACCTCTCCTCGCCCCGCACTCTCACTCGGGCAGCACCAACAGCAGTTCTCACTTCCTGCCCAGGCACTGGGGAAAAGCTTCTGGGCTGGTGTGTCTGGCCCCGATGACCCCACACCACCCCCAAAGACAGCCCAGTCACCACCCAGAGCCACAGAGCCTCAGCAAAGCGCCGAGGGGAGGGGAGGTCCAGAAAGCCAACAAGAAGCTCACCTGTAGAAAACCCCATTTTCTTGTGGCACTTGGTAAATTCAATATTAAAGTAGGTGACAAGGGCGTGAACATAGTCGTTTCGCTGGATCTGCAGGCAGAACGCAGAGGTGAACGACAGCTCTTCCGTCTTCACGGTGTAGATGTCCACCTCCTGCAGCCAGACAAGAGAGGATGCCAGAGGCTCGTGGCTGTGCCCATGCAGGGACTAGCAGCAGCCTCACCCCCAAGGCACCTCCGGCCTCTACAGGGCCACTGCTCTCAGAGACACATGCAGGCAACCCACCACCTCCTGTTACCTCTTCCGTCCCCTCTAGAGTGGAGGATGTTCAGGAAACAGGGCAAATGGACTTTAACCAAGCCTGGGGACAGAACTGAGTAGGTGGATCTGCTGGGGTGGAGAGAAGAGTTGACTAGGTGCTGTGTCTCCCAGCCAAGTCAGAGCAGCCTTCATCCCACCCCTCTCCAAGCAGGGTCCCAAATGTCAGCATCGACTCCACTCTGATCAATTCTAAGGGAGCAGAGAGTACCCTGGACCTCGTGACTCCAAGCAGTGCCCGGGTGGTTCAGGTCTTCCCAGGGATACTGAACCAGAAGATTCCATGTGTGTGCGTGTGTGTGCATGCGTGTCTGTGTATGTGTGTGCATGTGCACACGTCTGTTCCCAGCAGCAAAACAGATGCTATTCCCAGGAGTCTGGAACCTGAGCTCACACAGGCACAGACTGAGCTGAAGGGACCTCTGCTAACTCCTTGTAAAGAGCCTGCTGGACCGGTCTGAAAAATAACTAAATACAAGGAGAAGAATAAGAGGTGAGAATTTCAGTTCAGACTGGGGAATACAGAACACAAAGAACTAATAACTCTCACATCTTCAGCTGGAAAGTGGCTGAAAATCCACTCTGCTGGAGAGCCAGTGTTGAGACCTCTACCCTCCTTGGTGAAGGACCATGGCCTGCTCTGTGGGCCTCCGGGTGACTGAAACAGCCCACCAGGTGGTGGGGCTCTGGGATGGTTCCGGATCTCAGGGGCTCAGCTGACCCATGGTTAGAAGGTGGGGTCTGTAGAAAGGGTGTCTCTCCCTCCAGTGCTCCCCGTTTCTCTCTTCTTCCCATCCACTACCCATGAGCTGTCTCCCCTCCGCCCTGCCCATCTGCCAGGCCACCCTGCCTTGAACGGAAACCTCCGCAAGCTGAGAGCCAAAATGAACCCTCCTCCTTTAACCTGGGGTGTTGGGTTCTGTGTTCCAGCATGAGAAAGTGACTGAGACAACTGTTCTGAGTGCTGCAAGGAACAGACTGGTGCCTGATGGCTCCAAGATCATGGAGACAAGATCATCAAAGCAGCACTGTGTGAATGGCTTTTATCTCTCTGTACTCCTATGGTAAGTATAGGAAAGGAGATGCAAAGTAGCCTAGGGCCAGCAAAGAGAAGTCCTGACCCACAGAGGTGGCCAGAGAAGGGAGAGGAGCCAGCAAGGGAGCTGCTGGAGCCCCTGGGAGCACCAGAGTTGTGGTCATAGACCAGAAGCAGGTGGCTGCTGGGCTGGGCACAAAGAAGCCCTGGGAAAGTTACTTTCCAGTGTAAGTTACTCTGAGTTTCTAGAGCCCAGAGAACCAACAGAAAGGATGAGCAGCCCTAGTCTGGTGGGATTACACAGCACATCCCTTCCAGCTGAGCCTCTTAGCCACCTCAGCAACCCATGGTGGCATTTCCGGTAAGTCCCCCGAGAGATGTCGGCCCCGCACCCCTACTAGTCAGCTCACGCAGGTCAGGGTGACTCCAACATCACAGCTCCTTCAGAACCAGTGACCAGAGCCCACAGGATAAGCCAGGCACTTCACTTAAGCCACAAGTGCATCTGGACCTCTTCTTCTGCAGTATGAAGCACCCCAGCTTGTCAAAAAGGCCTCAGGGCAACAGTCCCCAGCCCCTCACCCTCCCAGACCTGCTCTGTCCTGAGTCTCAAAACCGAATGTGATGCTGACTGTCTGGCCTGCACTCTTCCTACAGCAGCTTCCTCTGGCAGCCTGGGCCATCAAAGGGCCCACATCCAGCCTGCCAGCCTTCCTGGTGCTCACCAGCCCTCCCAGCCGCACTGTCCACCAGTCCTCTAGGTTCCAGACCTCCTGAGCAAGTCTTCGTGACCTGCATCCCCATGCCTCTTCACCAGCACATCCACCGAGCTCCATGGTCCCAGGCACCTTTCTCTTCCAGCCTCTCTCCCACTCTGGACCAAGCTGCCCTCACCATCTCCATCCTCACCCTGGCATTAGACTGGAGCCCTGTAGGACCAGAGGCCACTCTTTGCCGGCCTGGGAACCCTCAGCGTGGGGCCCCACACACAGCATGGCTTGGATGCCTCCACCTACTGGGGATGGCGTCTCCTTCCATCTCCGGCCTCTCACTCCCTCATCGCCACCGCTACCCAATCTCTCGAGGGGCTGTTTGCATGTGTCCCCCTGCAAGGCCCCGCTCATGCCTCTCCTCTCCTGTTCACACCTCTCTCCTGTTCCCCACGTTGGGCAAGCGCGTACTCACACACACACCACCCGGCCCGCAGGAACACTTTCCACATGGTTGCCCACAGTCATCGTCAACCAGATGCCAGCTGTCACGTCTTGTGTTAAGGACAGAGGTCCCAGAGACAGTTGCATCTTAATAGGAGCCTTCCAGGCAGTGTAAAAGCTAAATAGCAATAACCTACACACTGAGATGGTAACAATAGAGGCAGCTGGCCTTTGGAGTGGGGCCCAGCCAGGCCATCTGTGAAGGTGGGGTCAGTGGTGACCACGCTCTGGGTCAAAAAGGGCCTCAGGCTCAGTGCCCCACCTGGCCCGAGTCCACAGAGCAGCCTATGATCCCAGGTGACCCCAGGAAGCAGAGACCCCTGCACTGCTCTGCACCTCTGAACAGCATTACAGATGGATATGCCTGGCAGCGGCAGCCCAGTCAAAACACAACCTTAATTATAACAGAGTGCCACAGTCCTCACGCTAATAGCAATGAAAATAGCAATTAAGTGTGTGAAGAAGGGCAAATGTTTTCCCCAAAGGCGAGATGTCGGGAGATGCTGCTTTGCACATTAGCAAGAGAGCTGATGAGGGCTCTTCTGGTTACACAGCAAACTGAGCCAATGTCACCCCTCTCAACATTGTGAAGGGGAGAGAGGCTGGGGTGGAGGGCGGACGTTGTCCCAGACCTTCAGACAATCAGAGCCTGCAGAGTCTCCTCAAGAGTTTGCCTGTGCACACCCTCCTGTCCCTCTGGGATGGCCGGGGGCATTGCCCCACCCTCCCTGTGCCCTAACTGGAAGGAAACAGGAGAGAACCCGGGAGTCCAGGCCACCAGCAGCAGAACAGCCAGTAACACAGTGGCTACTCCGTGGGGCTGGGCCAAGGACACGGAGCCACCTGTGCCCATGTAAATCAAAGGGACCGAATGTCCCAGCTGGCACCCTTGAAGACTCCCTCTGGCAAAATCAGTGGCACTGCTCATTCCCACCTAACTCCTGCACTGTGAAGAGCTCCTTGCTGGAAGATGTGATTTCTTTGGACTTGCTTGGGGAATGGGAGGGAGGGGTTGGTGGGAACAAATGAAGGGCTCCATGGCCCACATCCTGCCTGCCAGGGTCCTGGCTGGAGGAGCCCTGGTGAGCGCCCCAGGGAGGTGAGGGCAGGCTCAGTCCCTAGCCCACTTCTTAGACAGCACACTACAGGTACATCTGATGGGCTGTGTGGGGTCACTGAGCTTCTCCTCCAGTTCCCCAGGGGGTCTAGACCAAGGCCACAGTCCAGGAAAATGACACATCTCATGGGGACAAGGAGCAGTTTGGCCTGTGACTTCCCCACATCCTGGGGGGCCCTGCAGCAGTCCCCTGGTCTCTCTGTGAGTGGTCCAGTCCCCACTCCAATGCTTCCAAAACTCATGCGCAGGACCAGAGCAGGCAGGATGAGAGTTGGGTAGCTGAGCGTGCTTGCATAATGGTCCATATGTCTAGATTAAAAAATTAACTTCAGCCATATGAAATTAATCACTTTCTATATTTAAAAAAAGTCAGGTACCAATAGTTTTATCTGGCTCCACATGTTAGCACACAAAAATGCAAATACGAAGGACAAGTGTGGAAAGAATCACTGAGCAGTAGATCCTCCTGACAGAAGCATGGGGCTGGAAGAGAGCGGGCCCACTTTGCACCTGCGCAGTCTGCACGAGTGCACAGGATTGGAGTATGAGGGTGCTGACCAGCACACAGCCTGAAGAGTGTCCTGCAGGGGGGTGTGGGCCAAGAACCAGGCCCAGGGGCAGGCTGGGGTCTCCATGTGGTGGCCAGGCATGTGATTGGAGGCCATGACAAGGCAGCAGGAAGCCCTGCGTCCCAGGTGCGGCCTTGACACCCTCCCCATCTGTGCCACCTTGGAGTCCTTCTCCCTGTCAGCTTTTGACTGGTCACCTGGGAGAACCCAGGCTCTGGCCAGGGTGCTCTTGTTTCACAAGGCTGGGGCCATGAGGGCAGACCCCAGCCCAGCTCTTCAGTGCACACAGCTGCTCCTGGTTGCCCAGCCCTACCCACCGACCCACACACCTTTATTAAGCAGGCGTTGGTCACCACTTGCTTGGGGTCCACGACGTCCACCAGGGGCTCCTTCATGGCCACATCCCGGATACAGGTCATGTCAAAGCCGTAGACGTTCTCCCACCCTGTGGGACAGTAAGACATCAGGCAGGCAGGACCCCAAAGTTCACCCAGCCCCCTCGGTGCTGCTGGCCTGTGTTCTCAGCCCCCAGCAGCCTAGAATTGCTCACCTGCATGGGGGCCTTGCAAGGTTCCCAGTACTCACTCACATTTTCTCATCTTTCTTTCTTAAAGAAGGCAGATTCCACTTTATGATTAGAGAGACCACAGCTCTGAGAGGCTGAAAATCTTCTCTAGGTTCATGCTGTTGGACTGCGGCAGGTTTAAAGTCAGAACCCACATTTCCTTTTTTTCTCTGGTACCACATTCCTGTCCCCTCTCTAAGTTAGCAGACTCCCTCATCTGCCATCTACTTCCCTAATCCTATGCCTTCGCTTGTCCATCTCCTCCCCAAAAAGATGCATCTCTTCCCCTTTCTCCACTGATGAAGATGAAATGCAGCCAAGAGTTCAGATTGCAGAGGACGGCTGGCTAGTCAGGCCCGCTGCAAACCATCACGTCCGGCCAGGGTGAGTGCAGGAGGGCCTGGGCATGGCTCACGCCAGAAGCCCACACTGGCAGCCCTTCCCGAGAGAAAGAACCTCCAGGTGGGGCACAACGCATCCCAGCTGTGCCCCTCAGTCTGCAGGCCCCTGGCCTGTAGTGTGCTCTGTTGGGATGGAGGGAGACTGGGGTGCAGGAGCTGGTGCCCAAGATCACCCTTTCACGGTGGTAGTAAATGCTATCACTGATGAATCACCTGCCTTTAAACCACCCAACAACTCCTCGTTCATCTGTTCAGAAATGCCTTGAAGGAGACATGCTTTTCTCTAAAATCTCACTAAATTAAATTTTCTTTTAAAGTGTTCATCAAACAAACGGTCCCTTGGGGACTCTTGTCCCTGCATGTGGAGGAGGAGAGTGAGTGTGTGGGGAGGGGGTTGGAGGAACTGCTTCTTTGACACATTCTTTTCTAAGGTACACAAAGACCTTCTTGAGAGAAAAGAAGGCATAAGAAGTAATCATCTCCCAGAGGGTGAGTGCTTGTGAAATTCCAGGCTGAGAATACGATGCCAGGCATCCTCCATTCAGCCACCCGGGGCTGATGCCAAACTCCCAGCTGGAACCTGCATGTGGGAAGGGAGCCTCTCTGTGAGCCACAGGAGCCCCTCCCAGGATCTGCAGTGGCCACCGTCCTCTCCCCAGGTAAAGCCCAGGTGTGAAAGCACATGGCCTTGTGTTAAGCCACACGCCTGCCCCTCCTCTTCCAGGCTGTCTCAGATGAAGTTCAAACCCAGTGTGGGGAAGACCGGAAGTCAGCTGGCAGGCTTGTTAAAGGCATGCCCTTCGGAGCTTAAATCTGAGCTCTTCCACTGTTTTTCTGTGTCACCTCAGGCAAGAAGTCTCTCCCAGTCTAGTTTCTTCCCTTTAAAACTGAGATGCCACTGCTGCTTCTGCGGCCAGTGGCCCTCGACTAGGATTGTTAGGGGAATTACATGGGGGAGACAAGCTAAGTGCAGAAGACAGCGCCAGTCACAGAGAAAGACCTTGTCACCTGGTAGTCATCGTCACTATGTGATTTGAGCCCTGGCTTTGCTGCCTTCCAAGCTGTATGACCCTGTAGGGATCCATATCCTACTATGGTCTTATTTCTAAATTGAGGAGTTTGGTTCAGTGCTTCTGTGTTCTTAGAATCCTCTGGGGCACTCTTAAAATCAGATTCTTGGGCCAGGGATTTAGCTCAGTGGCACCACGCCTGCCTTGCAAGCACAAGGTCCCAAGTTCTATCCCCAGTACGCAAAAAGAAAAAAATCAGACACTTGGACCCAAGCCAGAGCTACTGAATCAGAGTCTTTGGGTTTGGGACCCAGGACTTCAGCTTTTTCTGAATCTATGTAGGTAGCACCAACCTTTCGGGTACTTGATCTTTAAAGTATTTGCAAGTCCTGAAATGGAGAGCTTGAAGTCTCGTGGCTTTTGTGAAGGCTTCTCCAGCTACTCCTGACCGTGGGCCTCTCCTTCCATATCCTCCACACCTATAGCACAGTTTTGGCACAGTACAGGCCCACAGGTAGTGCTTTTTAAATTGAAATCACCTCCCAACATATAATGCTGTCCTGCTTTAGAAGGCCTGGTGTTTTTATCTCCTTCAAAGGGGCTAATTAATGTCTATCTCCCCAGCCTGACTGTCCCACATTCAGCTATTCAGGGAACAAATGACCCAGTGTGTTAGATGTTTCTCTCCTTCCTGCTGATTATTCATTTCCCCATTTACAAGAAGTGGAGCAGAGATTGAAGACACAAATCAAACATCAATTTTTGTTGCAATTAATGAGTAAATGTGAGGTAAAGGCTATTTCAAAAAACATTGTTACTAAAAACAATATTTAGTAACACTGTCACTGAAAACAGTGTTTAGTAACACTGTTACTAAAAATGTTAAAAATAACAACAGAGGGGGCCTGTGAATCTTTTGCTTATGGATTAAAATTATTCCCCCCAAAAGGACTGCATTTTGAAGCAATGAACATAGCTAAGCAAAAAAAAAAAAAAAAAAAAAAA